GACTACGGCAAGCTGACCGCCGTGCGGTGGGGCGTCTGCAAGCGGCTGCAGAGGCGCTGGAGAAGCCGAGACCTAAGGCAAAGGCCAGACCCAGGAAAGATGGCTGAGGAGGCGGCGCTGGACCTGCTGCGGCGGCTGGCCAGCGACTTCAATGTGAGGGACGCCCGGAAGCTGTACCAGATCGCGAAGCGCGAGTTCCCCGACCAGCCGGCCGTCACGGTGAACCGGGCGAGGGACGCCCTGAGAGGGGACGTGGCGAGGCAGGTGCTGGCCCCGAAGCCCCGGAGCCTGGGCAAGAGCGCGGCCGAGGGCCCAACGACCGCCTCCAGGCGGACCTCATCGGCCTTGTGGTCACCGACGTCTTCACCAGGGAGGCGGTCACCAGGGCACTGCCCAACAAGAACGCGGAGACGGTGGCGCGCGCGGCCGCGGAGGCGATCCCCAACTACGTCGTGACCACGGACGAAGGCAACGAGTTCCGCACCCTGGAGGCGAATCTGCCCCAGGGGGTGGTGCACCGCCAGAAGCGGCCCGAGGACCGGAACGCCACCGCCGTGGTGGACCGCACCATCCAGACCCTCAAGAAGGACCTCGCGGGCGAGGTGGCGCGCCGGGGCGGCAAGTGGGACGACCACGCGGCCGAGGCCACGGAAGCCTACAACGCGCGGGGCCGTGCACGCCGCGCCCGAGGACGTGGAGACGCAGCCCGCCACCAGGACAACGCCGAGAAGTTCCAGCACAATAAGCAGCTCACAGAGGGGCGCCAGGCGCGCCTGCAGCAGGCCGGCGCCTTCCGCGCGCCAATAATATAGAAAGGGGGCCCATGGGGTCACTTAACCGCCAGTGGCTAAGAATGCATTTTCAAGCTCTGTAGATACATTTATTTACGCCCTGGTGCTGCCCTAGTGCTGCCCTAGTGCTGCCCGAGTGTGCCCTAGTGCTGCCCTAGCGCTGCGCTAGTGTGCCCTAGTGCTGCCCTAGTGCTGCCCTAGTGCCCTAGTGCCCACAATTGGCCCACAATTAGCCCACAATTGGCCCACAATTGGTCCACAATTGGCCCACAATCGGTCCACAAAAAATGCTTCATCGCGCCTCGAGGGAGCATTCCAGCAAGCAGCCCCGCCGCGAAAATGCCAGCGGCCCCGCCGGCCTCCCCGCCAAAAAAAAAAAATGACAACCGCGCTTGCGGCGCAGCTAGCGGTGCACTGGCGGCACGGCTGGCGGCAAAGCGATCCGGAGCCAATTTTTTGGAGAGCGGTCAGAAGCCAAATTTTTGGGGGCGCGGTGGATTTTCAGCTTTGTTTTCTTGCCACTTCCCTGACAAACTGCCAGCACGATCACTCGCTCCATCTCCACCTGGTCGCGCAGCGCGCTAGGCAGAACGGCAAAAAGGAAATGGCAGAAGCAAGACGAGAAATCATCAAACAAGTCTACGAGAATCCTCGAACAGGCTTTGGGAACTTGGAGGAAACTTTCAGGCGAGCCAGGGCTAGGGATCCCAACATCACTAGAGGTGAGGTGAGGGAGTACCTAAACTCTCTGATCGTCAGACAAGACCGTCCTGAAAGGGGTTACAATGGCTTTGTTCCTCCAGAACCCATGTTCCAGCTGCAAGTAGACTTAGCTGACATGACGGCTTTTGCGCAAGGGCCCTACAAGTACATGTTGGTGGCAGTTGACGCTTTCAGCAAAAAGCTAACGGCAGTTCCCATGACTAACAAAGAGGCCTCCACAGCGGCTCGGGCTTGGGACAAAGTTGTCCAGGACCTCGGCATACCGCTCAACGTTTACAGCGATGACGGATCAGAATTCAAGCGGGAGTTCAAGGAAAAACTGGATTACTTTGACGTGGATAAAGTAGTCAGCAGAGGTCACGCTACCATGGCTGAACGTGCTATCCGAACCCTAAAAGAAGCCTTAGTGCGAAGACTCACAGCAGGAGTCGGCAGGAGAAATCAATGGCATCTTCTACTTCCTGACGTCCTAGCTCAGTACAATGCAAGACCGCACTCAACCACGGGATTAGCTCCCAACGTTGCGTACGAGGACCCAGAGATGGCAGACAGAGCCTTAGCACGCATGAAACGCAATGTCAAGAGGGGTGCTGGACCCAGACCTCAGATAGGCGTTGGAGATATGGTTAGGGTGAGGGTTAAACCTATTGAGGGCAGGGGATCCTACAGGGTGACCGAGATCGCTTGGAGCGAAAGGGCTTACATGGTCTCCAGAATCGAGCACTCAGACGGTGGACCCTACTTCACGCTCGAAGGCTGGGCAGGCGGCAAACTGGTGCGTCGTGACCTCAGAAAGGTGGACGCTGAAGAACAAAGACGCAACTTCCCCATGCAATCAAGAGAGCTACGGGGAAGGCAAGCAGCACAAGCTCGTAGGCTACCGGCCCCAGGCCCCGCCGCGCCTCCCTGATCTTTTTTGACGCTTCAGTCGTAGCGCCGGTGACGTCTCTTCCAGCTTTCTGTCCAACAAGCTGTCTGTACAAGTAGCAAAAGCTGCCCCTAGCTGTACGAGGGAAGGGTAAGCTCCCGGCAAAAATGAGAAATCGCGCGACTTTAGATTACGTAGAGCTATTATAATGCTATTACTCTACTTAAACCCCTAGTCATCGAGCGAGTTCTCATCTTCCTGG